AGTAAATAAAGATACGATTATTCAAAAGATTTTCTAATGTTCTTAGCTTTTCTACATGTTGTTTGATTTATTTTAATCTTTGTAAAATTAACAAATCATGTTCCCTGGTAATGTGAGGTGTATACCTCTACAATTAAACTAAAAACGTTTTGAATCCAATTTAAAGTGGTTTGTATGTGATACACTGAAAAGAATAATGCTACCACATTTGACATTTACTTAATCATATATAGTTACTTTAACACAATTGTTTTATGTCCTACCCTGCTAACATGAAACAATTGTGTTAAAGTAACTAAATATTAGTTTATAAGTAAATGTCAAAAACGGTTGCATTATTTTTTTTCGGTGTAGAGTATACCTTCTTTGAACCATGATTGCATGTCGTTATTTATAAAACACATTTTCACAGGTTCAAAGTTTGATCTTCGTATTAATTCCCTAATATCAATAGTCACTTTTTTAATCTATGGCTGTGGAATGTGTTTGATGAAGAAAAGCAAAATATCTTTATCGAAAGTGTTTCAGATGATCTTTGCCAAACTTTTCTCTATTCATTGACTCCATGAAATTCTATCCTTAGATCATCCTGGATGAATCCAAAGAGCGATCTGTTTAATTTTTTTGTGAAATGATGCATCATGTTTGTTATTAGCAGCTACTTTCTATCAAGTTAACGTTTCTTCTTTTTCTCTGGATAGGAAGCAAAAGACCTCAAGCATATTTTCTCAGGACTCGTACAGTTTTGTTGGTGTGTTTTACATGGCCCTTGCCTGAGGCATTAGGTAGTCCTATCCTGCAGGGATTTTAGCCTTTTATTTTTATCTTCTGTGAAATAAGTGGAAGAACTTTTGGGAAAATAAACAGATGAATTGTTGATTTTGCATGTTTAATTTCAGCCTGTGGTTGACCGCTGCTAAAGAAGATCATTACAATGATGAACCATTTGTTTTTGTTTTTTTCACTAATTTTTAAATAAAAGATAAAACTGTTAAAAAAAAGATAAAACTTTTGCTTTTCATCAACACATCTACTACTAAACTTTAATAATTAGTGAGTTTACCTGACATAAAAGTTGTTACGTGGCTAATGATCAAAAATTTCTAAATATTGATCGAAAGAACGATAAAGTTCTTTCAACGAAAAATTAGGAAAATATTTTAACATGAAACACTTATTCAGACTTGGAATATAATAAAAATCTTTTTTTAATACTTTTGCCTCTCACCTTTTTAGACTGCATAAGAACCCATCTGTTTAGCTTCAGAGTGATGTTGCTTTGAAAGGATTTCCCATTTCCTCTGGGCAGTTTTGCTAGAGCAATAACTCTGGGCTAAATGGTTTTCTTAACCCATCCATCACAAAATGGTTTAAGTCAGGCAGTGGGAATCCCACTCACCACGCATTAGATACACTTGTTTTCAGGATATTGCAGTTCAATTGTGCTAAAAACAATATTGAAGCGATATCTTATTTCTGGAATATTGTACTAGAAAAGTTGGACCATTATATTAGAATAAATGGAAAAACAAACATAGATTTATATACAGTGGCTTACAAAACTAATTATGCTTTTGATTCCACACAGGTAGACTCTAGCAGTGGTTTCCCACTGAATACAAGGGAGGCTAAACCTCTCCTATAAATTTGGTTACATTATTGGTAAAATATGAATTTGTCAAACTTTATAAATGTAGTAATTAAACTATATCAAATATAGGCTAAAATGCACCTGATTTCATTAGGAATTCGCACAAAAATCAGCTATTGAGATTGTTTTTGAACACAACCTTCCCTCCGCTGTGGAGCAGCAGGCCGCTGCAAGTGAGTCTCTTGGAGAAATCCCTGTTGAGGTTTGAGCTTTAGTCTATTGAAGTAAGTAGCGAGAAAGTAGAGCCCTGATTGGATAACAAAATACGTCACTTCCAGTGAGGGTAAACCTCTTAGGAGATCTATGGAGCAGTCTATAAGGTCAAGAGCCAACCTAAGATTGTTGCCTATGGATTAATCCTTAATAAATCCTTGTTCGGGTTTCACACACTGTCTGTCACAAATCACTTTTAAATCAATTTTTTAAAAAAAGGGGTTGAATAATATGTTATTTACATTCATTAAAGTTATTTGCCTCAGAATGTTGATATGTCTTTTATCGCTTCCTGGTTTGGTGACTAATGTAATGAATCCGTGTTTCATGGTTGGCATTAAATAATCTTTTTCTATACATTCAAGACTTTATATGATATTTATTTTAAGTCTTTCCAGAAAAAACATATGTACAGTGGAAGTCAAACCATCTGCACCAGGGTTTTTTTTGCCTCTTGACATTTGTTTTACAGCAACATCTCATTCTTCAATTTGTGTTTCAGAGTCTCATAAAGATATTTAATGTCGAGTCAATTCTACAAATGTTTTTTTTGATGCATTCCAAAAAAAATATTTTTATCAAAGATATTAAATCTGCGATGAGAGCAGACTTAAGTGAGCTCTCTGGTTTCTCTGCTTGGGATCACAAGGAGACATTTCAGCTTGTTGAGCTCTTTTCTGAAACTTGAAAGAAGACTAAATGAAAACTTTAGTACATCTTTTTGGTCCAGAGAAAGAATGGAGAAACAGAAGAAATAAACCTTATTCACCCATATCTCAAAGTTGTCTAATAGAAGAACTTGAAACATTTTGGAAGTCTCATTTCAGATTTTTCCCTCCTCTGAGTGCTTAAGGATTTTTGACTGACAGCGGCAAAATAGTAAGGAAGTTTTCCTCCTGAGCCGAGGGGGAAAATTGATCATTCTTGTGCTGAACTCTTGCTGTGGTTTCTGGAGTTTATCTTTTCAGAGCGCATCACAACAGCTATTTTCACCTGTTGGAATAATGTGTTTTATGTGTTTCCACATTTGTAAATGCAATACGTGACGTTTGGGTTTCATTTAACAACTCTGAGCCTCCCCTGTTTTAGAGAGCAGCAGCCAGCACTGGACTCTAATCATTAGGAATCATTAGGCAACTTCTGAAGTTAATTGATTACAATTAGACAAAATGGGGGCTGAATTCTTTTGCACACCTCACCTTTCAGTATTTTGTATGTATCTATATTATAGTTATCTATATTTATAGTATAATTTAATTTCCCTTTAGGAAATATTAAGTATCTTTGTATTGAATTTGAGTTTGTAAAATTCCATTCTAAAAATGAATTTGTGTAAAATGATAAAAAGTGGAAAAATTCACCTTTTGAAAGCTAGATAGTAAGAGACGGACAGACCCAGACAGACAGACACATTTTACTCTACTCGTGTACATTTTTATAAGAAATGCCAGTTTACACATAGAAAATAAATGTCATTTTCTGCCAGGAAAGAGACAATCATTTGTTAGTGCGGACTAAAAACAACTAATTCTTCACCAGTGGTTTTGTTTTCAACGCTAAAGATTATAGTATTAAATAAATCCACAATAGTCCCCAGTGCAAAGCAATCATGAAAAAAAAAGTGGCTGTCTGGTGCATTGTTAATGGTAAACCAGTCAGACTGAGGAAGTACTCTTTCGAAGCCATCTGGCATTTATTCATTATTTGACATCACTGCCAAAAAGGCCCTTTTCTTGGTGCATTTAAATTATCCTCTTTCAGTCTGGACAGCATTTGTCTTGTCTTTTTTTATTTAAGGAATCTGTAGGAAACTTTTTACTTTTTGTTTAAAAGTCAATTTGTTTGCACACATATTTAAATATATATAAATATCCCTAACTGTGTGTGTGTCATGTTGGTTGATATCTTAGAATCTTTGGGGTTTCCATTCATTACAATGACAGTTACAGTGACAGAGACTGTATTTTTTGCTGTATCATGTACCCTGTGCTTTATACTGGAGGAAGTGTCAATGGGGGGAGTGCTAAGGCTTAACAAACCTCTCCATATCTGTGTATGTGAGCAGCTTGGTCCCTACAGATAAGACTGTGCACCTATTTATTATATTTATTGCTGAGGTGCACATCCTTTTTCCATACAGAGAATTACAGATTTCATATAGCCCCTCAGGGGGCAATGATGTGCTGGTTTACTCATAGTCTACTCAAAAGAGGAAGGAAAAAAGTAAAATAAAAAAAAGGAGTAAAAAAAAGGATAAAGTGATTTTTAATTGTATATTCAGAGTAGTTTTGTATCCTTGTCACAGAGATAAATTATCCACTCTGGGAAAACAGCCCATCTTTCTCACAGCATTTATTGAAAACCATCTTTGCTGTTGTTTTTCTTCTGCTTATGATAAAACCATTTGCTATTTTTATCTGAGTTTTGGTCGGCATCACTTTCTGACTAGGACTACTATATTCTTGATATTGTCAACATGTTAAGCCAAAGCTGTCACTAAAATCTGGATCACGTGTCTGCAGAGATTTCTATTGCAACCTAGTGGTTGGGTACGGATGCTTTCATGCCAAAGGTTTCACTATTAAGGGGACAATAGAGTGAACACTTCGGTTGCAGGAGCAAGACATGGCTGTCTATATCTGGTCAGATCTATATTTTGCACCTTTAGGTTGTCCTGTAAAATTCACATTGATGGAACATCATATATAGGAAAAAACAATACTACAAGGTCTACAGTGTTCTTAGGGTAAGAGCTAAATGAAAAAAATGTCTAAAACGAATTTTAGAAAGTGGTCAGGTAGAGTCGACTGTAGTACAATACATATGTTCTGTTTGGAGATGGTGCAGACTGAAACCTTTGCCATTACTATAAGGAACTACATGATTTGAACTGCTGTGTAATGAATAGCAATTAACCACACAAATGGACATTTTAACATTCCTTCAATGTTGGTACATCAGGCCTTATTCTTTTAAAATCTGATGCTGTCTGATGAATGCTGGGCCAAAGTGTTGATAACTTATGGTGTATTGGCAAAGAAAGGTAAGTAAAAGGAAGCAGACCAACTGTTGATAGAAATATAATTAAAACTTTTAAAATTGAATATGTTTATTTGTATGACTTGAAATGCCTTACCTGTAGAACAGTCCTCTCCATAGAAGCCATCGTCACAGACACACTGGCCATCCACGCACTGCCCATTGCCCTCACAGTCATTAGGGCACTTTGGGATGCTGCAGTCCTCACCCGTAAAATGAGGAAAACAGACACATTTTCCATCCACACACTGCCCCTTATCATTACAGTCGCCTGGACATGTCAGCTGGCTGCAGTCTTCTCCTGTGTAGCCTTCATAACACACACATCTTCCATCTACACATCGGCCGTTGTCGCTGCACTCGTCAGGGCAGGACGACACAGAGCAATCAGGACCTTCCCATCCTGGGTTACAGAGGCAGCTGCAGGTGTCGTGTTGGTAGGTACCATGATCACTGCAGCTTGTGTCTACACCTTAACAGAAAAACATGAGGAAAAACTGACTAGCTTTGAATCATCATTTAGATTGCCCAGGCTGAAAATTTTAGTGAGAGGTTATTCTCCATCTTTTTCCCTGTTGAACTCAAGTAACCATTGACTTTGGGTGTAATAGCTTACTGTCGATTTCAGGTGCTTAAATGCATTGGTTTTGACAGCTTACCTGGAGCACCTCCTCTTCCACAGCATCCCTGAGTGCACTGGGTCTTTAGGTAGTTAACTTCTTCTTCCAGTCCATTGACTCTGTACAACAGCTCCTTGAAGCTTTCTGACTCCTCACAGTTACACTTGGATGTTTGCAGCCTAATATTGTGTTTGAAGATTATGTCATTCTCTCCATTGGATGTGGTATCTTGTTGCAGACCTACAAAAAATAAACTTTCAGTTAACAGGTTCTGCTGCTAATAAAAAAATAATCTTGCTACCTTAAACAAAGAAATTCCTTTTATATATTACTCTCTGGTGTCTATCTATACTCATTTCTTGCTCCCCCTGCTTATCCTTTAATGTTTGTCTTCTCTGTCTGACCTGTCTCTTGGACTGGCAGACGCTCTACGGTGCAACTGGAGCTTCCTGGGATGTCAATCTTGTAGACGTGGCTGAAGGTGAGTCCCCGTTCTGTGCCTGAGAGATCTGGCTGGTTCTCTGTGCAGTGCACATGGCGTGACAAAGTGCAAAGTATGGACAGCAGGCACAGGGCCCTCCATATGAGTCCAACGCTCATTGCTGCAAGAAAAAAATGCATATTTGTTTTTTTCTTCTTCTTTAGTAAGCTTTTTTGGCACATATTAGGCACCTAGTGCACATAAATGATGTATGAAATATCTTACAGTCCTAAATGTAAAATGTGTTACAACTTGAAAATATTTTAATTAACACTGGATTTGTCTGTCTTGATAAAAAATGTCTTATGCATGGTTTTCAATTACATGTTTATTATTTTACTGTAAAACTAATGGTTCAATCAGTGGTGCTGTTGGCTCTAAGAAACATTTGAAAAATCTCAATTAATTTTACATGCAATCACACTACTTTGTTTATGCCACCCTCAAACACCCCTTTCCTTCCTTGCCATCCTCCCACAGTGCTACCTCTGTGTGTAACACTTCTGCATAAGTAAGTGTCTGCACCTCCACAACTGGACTAAGCATTGTATGTTTCATACCATGATGTTCCACAAATTCACTTAGTAGTAAATAAATACATAAATATTAAGCATATCTAACAATGCACCCTAAAAATGTCATTGCTGATTTATGAGTTTGGACTCCATCTGCATGTACAGCCATGGAATACCACCAACCACCAACAAGAAAATAACTAATAATAACTAACACAGCATAAATAGTCAAAAGGAAGACAATTATCCCCTCTAAAGTGACTTTAGCAGACTTTTAACTACCTTTACTGACTGGAGTTGGATCCATCGGTCTTTAGTATTAGTGTATTTATTTTCTATAGCTTATGTCTTTGGAATAAACTACTGAATGTGGAACAGCTCACTGAAACTAGAGATGTTTGTATTTGTGCTTCACTGGACCAGAACCCTAAATCTTGGGATTGACAAAAAGTATTTTTCATCTACTCAGTGTTTAAAGTTTAGATGAGGACAGAACCTTATTCAAACGATTCATGAGTTTCAATATACTGAGTGAGGCAAACGTCTGTATTTTTAATCTCAGAAAAACCCGAACCATGAGGTCATTGTGCATTTTGTGTTTTATTAAATGCTGGTTTACCCACTCCAAATTTAAAAGTAAAAGAGAGCCACTTAACTTTACCAGAGGTTTTTGGGGTCTGAACTATGACATTTGCTAATTCAGGCATTTCAAAGCAACAGTAAGTGCAGAAGCTCATCTGAACGCCCTGATGCCAGTGCATCTAATGACAGTGATGTCATGTTAACATAAAACCTGGTAGTGGCTTCCCCCAAAAATGAAATAACATGCTTTAAATATAGTGTACGTCTCAAAAAACGTAGGAAGGTCATTTTGGGTTTTAGCCTGTATTTAAACTTGTAAAAAAAAAAAGAAAATTGTTATAAAGTGATGGAGACTTTTGAACCAACTGTGCTGAGATTGTGTGGTCCAGAAGAAACATAAATCTAACAGATGTTGGATTAGAGGTAAGTAATGTGAGATGGTTGTCAATTCGAGAATTCAAATCCAAAAACTGTAGCCAAATTAGAAATACTTCAAAAGAAAAGCATTTTGTCATTTTATACATATATGTGTAGTTATAGTTTTCTTTTCTTTTTTAAAGGTTTGAGAAGAACACTTCTCATTCACCAAACCGTGGTTTTAATGTAACGCGTACTGAGATGAGGATGGGAAAGCTGAGACATGCTAAGTTATGAGTCTAACATTATTTAATATCATACAAACATTCCATACAATAAAATAAGACCCAAATTTTATTCACCTTGACATCATTGCATGATACCGAAAATACTGATTCTGAAACCGGTATTTTCATGCTTTTACTTCAGTAAAAAGCTTAAGTTGATACTTCATATTCTATATGAAGCCAATGTTTGTAAAGAGTATAAATGTCAACAGATACTGAATGAATTATTGACATTTTGACAGTATTAATGTATAAAAAAATATCATCATTTAAACATTGTAAATTACAAAATAAGACTCTTTTGTTTGATGATTACCTGATTCATTCAAAAAATGTGGAGTTTCAGAATTAACACATACAGTAAGAACATTTGTTTATCAGTCGGTAAGGTTTAGATATCAGTGCTTTTTATCAGAACGTTTGAGAAAAGATTACAACAAAATACAGATTTCTTTTAAATTAGAACTCTAGAAAACAAAATACCATATTTTGGCAACAAATTCATTGTTCCCTTTGTAAAATGAAGTGGGAGTAGTATTACAATTTAAATGTGCACTGCTTAATATGAGTCAGGGTGGTTAAATGCCGCTCATTGTCCAATCAAATCTGACATCAATAAATAATCTGTCCTTACACAGACTATAACAAAAAATCAAGTCGCAGTTGCATAAAGTGTTTATCATGACGTAAAGGGGTTCAGAATATTTTCACACAGTTGCTAGATTTATTAGATGAACTCCAATGGACTGGGAACATAAACATTTCAAACATGTTTGGTTTGTGAAATATTCCAAACCCAAAGGGTCTGAGACTGGGAAACTCAACAGGGAAATGTGAGGCTTTTTGTCAGGACAGAGCTCACTTTGACTGTTTTTCAACCTGGCTTTCAAGCTAACCAAAGTAAAATTCAACATGTCCAAAAATGCCCTTTTCTTTCCTGAAAGTATTTCCTCTATTTCTATAAACAATGTGTGGTTATGGATGTGTAAAATCTTTGTTGAAAACATGTGTTTTTTTTATATGGGCAGAAGAGGGACTGATTACATGTGGGTACAGCATGTGGATTCAGGCATTTAAAGGTTGAAGGAAAAGATGTGGGAAAATCTAATGCTAACGTGTTTAATCACCTGGAGCCCTAACAGTCTGGACTGAACGCTACACTGACATAAAAAAAGAGGAAGAATTTATCATAAAGCAATTCAAGAAAAGAAAATTTGGTTTTATTTGCCTCTGTAAAAAAAATTTCTGTAACATTCTTTTTTTAATTCATTTTACATTATTTTACATATCAAAAAAGAGCCAAGTTGATAATATGTAGACCTGTCTTGGAATGTAATCCAGCTGCTAGTCTTATGGGCTTTGACTACCAGCGTTCCACGTGTAGAAACAATTATCTTTAAAAACCTTTGTGTATTCTTCTTTGCACAAGAGCTTAAGATCAGTAAAATTGGAACATAGTTCTTGAAGCCTTGGAGCATGTTCTTTTATTTATTTATTTTTTAGTTTATTTTAGGTCTGGGCTTTGACTAGGACACTGGAGCATATAACTTTGTTTAGGGGGGTATTTTTTTAGGACTTCTTTCCTGCTGAAAAGTAAACCTCTCCCCCATCTTCAAGCATTTTTGAGAGGTTTAACCCATCTTTTTATCAAGGTAAAAATAACTTCACAGTAATATTTACAATGGCCAACTTTCACAGTGCTGATGGTGTGTTCAAGATTATGTGAAATTCTAGTCTAGAATTTGGATTTAATGTAGCTGCAATCAGATTGCAGTTTATCAGAGTAAAGGAAGTGTATTTAAATGAAGACCACAGTTTTAAATAACTAGTTGTAAAAAAAAAAAAAGGATATTACTTAAGATGGATGTTTGATCAAGGCAAATTGTGAAACAGTTAAAGTGGAATAAGTATTTTATGCAAGTCAATGTTATCAAAACATAGGGACAAGAAGGTAATAACAGAACATAGTCTGTGTACACTGAAACTATTGTCTTTATACTGTAGTAATACATTTATATTTATATTTGGGCTAATATACAAATAATGTTCATCCTTTCCCCCCATTTCCTATCCTACCCTATCCAATCTTATCCAATCCCATCCTATCCTATCCTATCCTATCCTATCCTATCCTATCCTATCCTATCCTATCCTATCCTATCCTATCCTATCCTATCCTATCCTATCCTATCCTATCCTATCCTATCCTATCCTATCCTATCCTATCCTATCCTATCCTATCCTATTCAATCCTATCCTATCCTATCCTATCCTATCCTATCCTATTCAATCCTATCCTATCCTATTCAATCCTATCCTATCCTATCCTATCCTATCCTATCCTATCCTATCCTATCCTATCCTATTCAATCCCATCCTATCCTATCCTATCCTATCCTATCCTATCCTATCCTATCCTATCCTATCCTATCCCATCCCATCCCATCCCATCCCATCCCATCCCATCCCATCCCATCCCATCCCATCCCATCCCATCCTATCCTATCCTATCCTATCCTATCCTATCCTAATCTATTCCATCCAATCCACAGCTTGCTTACATAGCCTGGAAAGTAAAATTATAAAATGCAGCTGAGAGTAATTATCGTCTGTGAGTAGAGCTTACATCTTCTTGATCCTGTCTGCCTTCTGTTACCGCACAGACCACTAGGAAAACTCGACAGGGACCTTATTTTAACTATTGTAATTACTTCCTCAACAGTACTAGCAATAAAACAAAGTAGTCTACTAATACAGCCCATGAGACTGGAGATACATGTTTCTAAAAAAAAGTGTACTTCCAATGGTTTTGCTGTCTAAAGGAAGGTTTAAGTCCATAGATAGAAATAGAAATTATCCTCCTCTTAAAAGTTTTGATGTTTCCATGACAACACTTTTTTCAAGCAATCTGCTCAGGTTTGCTAATTTTTCTCTCTGTATGTCCTTCTCTCTTGGCCTTCTCCTCCTCGCCACCAATCTGCACAGCTGAGGGCCAACATCTGCAGCTCATTTTAAGAGCACTCTCTGTTTCCCCTGAGCCAGCACAGTAGCATTAAATAGTAAATCTTCTGGTTCAGCAGCCAGTTAAGGTTACCTACCTCCACAGCAAAAAAAAAGGTTATTTTATTTACAGTACTTAAGCTTTTATCATGAAGACATAAAGATGCTGACAGCTTTGTTTGTGGTACAGAACATGATTGTGTACAAAGATCTGATATATATATATATATATATATATATATATACATATATACATATATATATATATATATATATATATATATATATATATATATATATATATATATATATATATATATATATATATATATATATATATATATATATATATATATATATATATATATATATCAGATCTTTGTACACATTTCATAATCTGGAATATATATTTCATAATCTGGAAATATAGATGATCTGGAAACATAATAAGTATTTTCCCTTCAAAAGGATGAGTAGATATTGTACACTTAAAATTTTAAAATTTGGGTTTTTATTTTTCTAATTTTAATGTAAATAGTTTTATTCCAATGGCAAAATGTCTTATTTAAAAGTTGAAGTCAAAGAAAAATGCAGTTATTGCAATAAAATTGTGCATATTTTTCAATTTTGATGATGATTTTTGTTTGCTTTTAACCACGACTAAAAGCTGCTCTGTCTGCTTTGATGGGAAATTAGCCCTCTTACATTATGTAACTCTCTTATAGAAATCAAAATACCTTCAGTTTCCTTTTATGTTTGTTTTTTTAATCAATGCTTGAGTTTTTTTTACTGAAAATAATAATTTACAAAGATTAGTAAATAACCAACTAAAAAAAAAACCTTAGTTCCTACAACTTGTTAAAATATCCTTTAAATTTAGATTTTAATAGCCTACCTCATTCAAATCTCTGAGGCAGTCTAAACTGTTATTGTATTAGAAACAATAGGTTAAGCAAAAGGTTGAGACTGCTGAGAATATGACTCTATTGAAAGTACAGCTTAAAAGTAGGATCAATCAGACGATACACAGCCAAAACCCGATCACAGAGATCCAGTTAAAAAATGTGACTGAACTGATCCAAATGAGGAAATTGATCTTTTGAAATTTTACAACATATAGCCCATTTTGTCAAACGTGCACATTTATAAAAAAAAATAGTACAAACAATTAATCTAACACAAAGTTTAAAAGTTGTTGAAATTGCTAGTTTTAAACGTTTAAAAAATGCAATAAATTACTATATTAAAACGCTGCTGTCTTACCCTTATAGATGAAGTTTCCCCTCCTGTCTTCTTTTTGCTTCTTTTCTCTTAAAATCTGAATGTCACTCTCCAAATCTGTGCCTCTGCCACCTGTTGTCAGGTCAGAGCTACTGACTCAAAGATTCTCCACAATCCCTGTGGCTTTTTCTGTCTCTCTCTCTTTCTGTCCTTACTTAAATGTTAATTTTTCCCCAAATGCCTCTGGGCCAATGGGTAGTCAGTCTGGGAGTGTCTCTACTCCTCTAAGCGAATGAATAAGGAAGATGAAGGACTTCAGCAGGGGGATGGAAAATTCACCTCTTATTTATTTTTCTGGGAATAACTACTCTTGACCTGTGTTTCATTGTAGTGAACAGCAACAACAAAAAAGAAAAAAATCACGAGGAGACTTACTCTCTATCATAGTAAATTAATACTGTACTAGTTGAAAGCAGTGAGGTTGAAGTGAGATAAACCCTGATTTCATTCATGATAAAATACTCCCCTGGGGAAAAATATTTATCAGCATCAGCTTTCCCTCCTGAAATCACCATCATCACTTAGGTGAAAGCGCTGTTCTCATGAATAAAAAAAATCTAAATATTTTTAAATAAATATTTTCTCCATGCAAAAAATGTTTCTTTTGTTATTCAAGTGGAAATAAACGCTCTCTGAAGACACATCAGGACTAAATGCTTCAAGTTAATAGAAAAAAGCACCAACTTCAAAATCGAACCTCTTTAGAAAAAAGGACAAATGCAAAAAAAAAAAAAAAATGTAAATAAATGTTAGATATATAGGGCTGGGTAAAGATAACAAGTTTTCAATTTTTTGGCACCACTGCTGTAAATACTTTTACACAAAGATGCTTTGAAATTTGAAAGGACAAATAGGAAGCACTGGAATTGATTCAGTGACAATGTATGGGTCATATGCTGAGCCAGGTGTCTTTAGTTTTACCTATGGACCCAGTTGTGACTCATACTGTTTCTTTTTTCTCTTTCTTAAAATATGATAGTGTGTTTGAAATCTGTACCACAGGTCAAATATATGCACACACATCTGTGAGAAAGATCATTCAAAGGCATCATTTTAACTGTAATCAGAATGATATTTTATTTAAACTACACATTTCTTGTGTAGTTTAAAAAAAAATATTCTAAAAATATGTTGCCATTCCAAAAAAGTTAAAAAGCAATCAACTGGACTTTGTTTCCAAGTTTGAAGACTTTTCACTTCCTACCCAGGAAGCTTTTTCAATTCAAAATGTCAGAATAAGCATTGAGTTTAAGGCTTTATAGAGTGGACCGAAAACAAAGCCTTGATTTGGCGTAGAAAACATGCATATTGAACCGGACGAATGGGTCCGCCCCTTAGGAATGGGGGTCGTTTGGGTTCTTTATTAGCCTGCAATAACAGATACCAGTATATGTCTCTGAACGGGGGGTCGTTAGAGGGAATTGTTTGCCTGGCTGAAAAGGCAAGATGTTCTGGTAAGGGGGTGGGGGTTGAGACGATAGCGGGAAGGAATCAACCTGAGTCCACCCCCTCTGTTTAAGGTTGTTTTTTCTTTCTTAACACAGATGGCTTCCTTCACACCCCTCTCAAACCACCTGTCTTCTTTGTCCAAAATGTGAAAAGTCTGGTCTTCAAAGGAATGTCCTTTGTCCATATTTCTTACAGTTTATTTTGTATTTTCTGTAAGTATCATGTTGCTGTTGGTTTTAAATGCATTCCTGAAGGATACTGCAAATTTAAAGGACTGCCAGATATTATATAGAGAAAAAAAATATTGTACTCCACCTTGAAAGTAAATGGAATCATTAATAAAGCTTAAGTAATTTGTTTTCTGACTTACTTAACATAAGATTTTGTTTTATATTTTCTATTCCTCTCATTTTTATGGATTTTTTAGGCAGCCTTATATCAGTTTCCATTATGTCTTTATTAAAAACTTTGTTGCCAATGATCTTGTAAGTGGGAGATCTTTACTTAAATGCAAACATTTGCTCTTACATTAAATCATTGTCTTCATAGAACATCCTGAGCTGTTCTGTCTGATCTTTAATTATAGTCACCAAACCCATATCTGTTATAGAAATATTCTTGCTGGCTAGACTTACCATAAACAGCTATTTTATCTGTAATGACACTGTAATATAGTATAAATTCTACAAGGTATGTCTTTTAAAGATTTGAAGAACTTATAATTTTATTAAAAGCATGACCAGACAACAGTCAGATAAATAGACCATGGATGTTGGGTACTGTGTTATGATAACAAAGTCTTGTTTGTTTAGTTGTTTTTTATGAATTTGTCCTTTATACATTGTTTGGTTGCAAAACCACAAGTTTTCTCCGTACGATGCTGGCTATGTTTTCAATTTATTCCATTTAAACAATGCCTTACTAATTCCATCCATATTTACTTTGATCTTTTTAATTTTCCCATTTTTAAGCTGCGATCTTTCACATAGGGTTGGACTTAGCAGTAGCCAGGGGCTTTTCTTTGATTTGTTTTTAAATAATTAGATTTTTTTGAAAGCAAAGCACAAAAACAAGAAATGTATGCTTAATTTTGCTGTGACTTGTTTCAATTTGTTTGATTCTCGTGTAGATATATAACGCTCCACCCTGCATGGGTTGTTGAGTCCATTTTTATGTATGTTTATATGGATGAAAACATTTTATGAAACTGATGCTGTGTTAAAGAGAAAATGTTCTACAACCGACAAAGAGAAAGATGATTTCTAAACAAATATTTTCATATACGCAAGGAATGAAAATAATATTATAGTTTCCATGAGTATAACAAATTTTTGCAAGTCAACCAAACTGGCTTCTCCAAGGATGCTGGGATACCTTCTACAAGGTATCCCAGCATGTATGGGGCTCAAGCTGAGCTCACTGTTGTCAAAATGTATGGAATTTGTGTTAAACATCATCAGCAAAAAAATATATGTATTTAAATGTATTTGTAGAGTTGAAGATAGTAAGACTCCTTTTTTAATCTCAAGAAATGTGTGTACTTTCCCTTTAATTACAATTTGGGTGTATAATTTGAGTACATTTGAAAAGAAAAAGATGTTAAATGTCAATTAGCACTCACTTGTAATTAAATTATTGTTTTAGCCTTAATTCATTAGATGCAGCAATACATAAATTCTGTTTATAGAAAAATACATTATAGCAGATGTCAATCTGATTTCATCAGTTTCATCAGCTTATCACCATTTTAATCTTTCCTTTAAAGGAATAAGTGGCGCAGTGGGTATTGCTGCTGCCTTCCAGCAAGAATGTTCCGGGTTCGATTCCTTGCCCTGGGTCTATGGCTTCCCCCCACAGTCCAAGAACATAACTGCTAGGTTAATTGGCTTCTCTAAATTCTCCTTAGGTGTGAGTGTTTGCATAAATGGTTGTGTGTGCTGTTTGTATCTGTGTTACCCGTCATAACCCCAGCAGGGATAAGCATGACAGAAAATTGATAGATGTAATAGTGCTTATGGTTGGCAAGTTGCAGGTTCTTTAATATCTTACATTTGCTAAATATTTGTATTTGTTCTAAACAAATACTCCACATTGAACAATGGAGCACAACTGACATACAATTTTACTGCTTAAAAGTGAGCATACTATACTCTATACCAGCATTATATTTACTAATTTACTGATATTTCTATAATAAAATTTTAACATTGTATTCTACATACTGTATACTGTAATCTTATACTGTATCCCATTGTTTTAGTTTGTTCCCTTTCTTTAACATGACAGAAAGGTTTGTATAAGTAGAATAAAACGACTGTTGGAACAATTGAACTTGCAGAAAAGGGAATGTGTAGGTGCACATTTAGATATATTCATAGACTTACTGTCAAAGAACTTCTGTGTGGTAGAAAACCTATTTACAGTGCTCTGTGGAACAATAAGAAACTATGTCATGCAAGTCTCTGTGTCTAGAGAAACACATGGATATTTCCTATTGTGTGTGTTGGTTTCATCCCATGCTGAGAAATCGTACCCCACACAGATGTTACAGAACTCTTCTCAGCAGGGTGACCCTTATATTATGTTTTCTTTAAAGTTATGCATGTCTGCGTGCAGCTTCCTTTCCCTCCTGGGCAGAAGACAAACTTTCAGATGTTATTAGAAGGGCCCACACACACCTTTTGATTTACTTTCCTTATTCATTCCTGCTTCTTTGGGGTTGGGGGTGCAGTTTGTAGAAAAAAAAGCTTTTATTTCTTTTTTTTTAACAAAATCAAATTGCAAAGCAGGACACATAAAGGTCAGGATTGTTGCTGAATACCTTCTGGCTAATCTCATTGATTTAGCGTGCATAAAATAAGCAGGTGTTGATTGAATGTATTTGCATCTGTCAGTTTATGTTATTATTTGCTGGACTGAAATACCTATTAGAAGATAGGAAGAGTGACTTTTATTTTTAAAATACCTTAGGGCATTTCATGATTAAAAACAGAGTCTGTTTTTTTACTGGGCTTTAGTTTGTTTTAAACAGGACTTTGGAAACTTTTTGCCAAATAAAATAAACAAAGAAATAAAAATTAAAAGGCCATCAGATCCACTGGTACTTCATACACGACTAGACCAAGGGACGGCTGCTGCAGACGGGCTAATATTACCCTGGCTGCGGTTAGCCTTCAAGGTCCTCTGGTTGCCATGGTCCTCAGTATCTCTGTTGACAACTTTTTCAATTATGCACTAACTCAGTAAATGGACCATAGCGTTAAGCTTGAAATGATAATGTTCTCACCTCAAATGATCTTAAAACATAGTTTTGTTGAACAAAAGCAGTAAAAAAAGTGAAATTTTATCTTAACACTCTGATTTCCATCAGCACTCCCTAGGAACCTAGCTGCTGCTGCAGTGCATTCTGGGACAGTGGTCAGTCTGAAGTTATCTGCTCTGATTAATGCTCTGGAAAGGATGATAACCACATTCGGGGATTTTATCTATTCTCTGTCTTATGTTCTTGGCAATGGGAACACTGCTGGTGCTGAGGCTGATGGCGTGTTAGAAAATCTATCAGAATATGCAATTATGTATTTTAAACAGCCTTTGACTTCTTCTTTAGTTTCTTGAATGTTGTAAAAGGCAGTTAGATCAGTATAGAGGATAGGCTGAATGCCTGGTTGCTGAGTCTACCAGGTTAAGAAGCA